AAAAAAAAAAAAAAAAAAAAAAAAAAAAAAAAAAAAAAAAAAAAAAAAAAAAAAAAAAAAAAAAAAAAAAAAGAAAGAAAAGAGAACCAGATATCATTCTTACCATACAGCCACATATAATATAGTGCACGCAAGCAAACTTCCCAAAATCCCGATTGGCAAATCTCTTGATGGATTCTTTGTCTCTTGTGCAACAGTTGAGATGGCATCGAATCCAATGTAAGCAAAGAACACAATCGATGCACCAGAGAAGATACCCGATGCACCATAAGCAGAAAAAGTTCCCTCGTTCTTGGGTACAAACGGTTTGTAGTTTTCGGATTTTATCGAGGGTGCGGCAGAAAAGATAAACAAAAGAATCACCAATACTTTAAACACCACTATGACATTATTAAACCGAGCCGATTCCTTGATTCCGAGGACCAATACAACTGTAAGAAGTACAACCACGGCGAATGCCGGTACGTTAAAGTATGTTCCGGGAACTGTCTGAAATGACTGGGTCGTGACGTCGAATAGTAACGGAGACATGGTGGTCGAGTTACTCAAGGATACAGAGAAAGCATCCTCAAAGAGATGGACAAAGTATGAGGACCATCCCACGGCTACAGCGGCTGTCGAAACGAGATATTCGAGTATTAGTGTCCAGCCGACTATCCAAGCCATCAGTTCACCCATAGTGGCATATGCGTAAGTGTAAGCCGAGCCAGAGATTGGAATCATTGAGGCGAGTTCGGAGTAACATAGTGCGGCAAAAAGAGCAACCAAACTAGATACGAGATATGATAGGACGATAGCAGGGCCTGCGTGAATTGCGGCTACCTGGCCTGATATTTCATGATGGGAGTAGGATAAAGAATTCAAACAAGAGAGGTAAAATCATGTTGTTAATAATTGTGAGAGTAAAATTTACTGCGATTAATCATCTTGTTTTGCAATTAATTTTTTTTTTCCGTTTAACTCACCGGTCAACACGAAAATTCCTGCTCCTACCGATCCACCAATTCCAAGCATTATTAATTCAAATGGTCCCAAACATCTGCTCATGGTGGAATTCTCACTCGCTGTTCTTAAATCGTCTAGGCTTTTGATAGTCAAAAGCTTTCGCATATTATACTGCCATGTTGTCTCATCTGTCGTACGAGGCAAACCGGATGTCAGAAACGCATACGTTTTGGAGGAAGTCGGTGTATCTTTTGACATGATCTGTCTATGTGGTATAATTAAGTATGCAAGGTTGTTATGACAAAAGAGAGGAATAAAATTGATTATTAAAGGCTGAGCTTTTCTAGGCGGTTCTATGAATTCTATCCACGTCTGCAAGGCGGGTTCATATATATAATTCGAATTCTAATATTTGTACACATGAACTTTTGGATGCCATAAATGGAACAGACGTTTTTTTATTATAACGCACGGATAGATAAGAAAAAAGTCCGGTATTCTTTGTTATAAAGAGGCATTCTATTATTAGTTATATTTCCAAGTTGAGGTTTGAAGCTGTGCGGTTTTACAGTAGCATAACTCTGGATTAAAATATGCGGTACGCATAATTGATTAACAATAACGACCCTGATGATTACAAAACTTAAATATTGATTTACCTTTTTTGTTGTTGTTGTGAGACCCGTTTTTTATGTAGGATGTGTATCGGGTAGGGGAGTTTTTTCACTCGCGTTCGAAATGATAAGATTTGATCAGCCCTAATTATAATAGGGATCTTCACTATGCATAGCGCATGATTAGTCATTGTAACACAGCCAATAATCTCCATGTGAAGGATAGACTTTCATGCATGCACGCTTCATAATGTCATAATGCTAATGCTAGTCAAATATTGCAAATAAGTGGATACCATACGAGAGAGGTTATGACAACAAAGATTATGCAACAATTCCTCACATCTTCTCGTTTAAAGACTTTGGATTAACATTTTACCCCTTTTTCTCCAATGGGGGACACGATCCTCTCTATGATGGATTCGGGGTTCACCACAACTTGCTTTTCATGCATGCATGTAAAATTAGTACCCCCCGTCTGCTATGCCATAGTTGTAAATTAATGTTCTCCCCCCTAAATAAAGGGTTTAAACGTATGCGTTTATCCGCCATGTGGAAGCAGTCATTCGTTTTGTGTGAATTTTTACCAAAGCATGATAACTCTATCTATGCCTTATCTATACCAGATAGGAACAGCCAATAACGATAATCGCTAAATTGTTTTCATGTGAAATTTGTAATCTTTTGCGTATCCTGCAAGTTAGTTGGGCAGCCAAATACGTACTTCAATAACACTCATTGAATCAAGACATTGTTTAAATTAATTAACAGTCTAAGCAAGAAAAAAGAATGTAACAGCTCGCTTCTTCTTTTATCATCGATGACAGTGTTTTAATATACGTAATATCCATGTGCTTTCTTTGTTCAATCTTACAGTTGCGCAAAAGATATCGGTACACGAGGGACGTGCTATTACAAGCTAGAGAATCTGAATAAAATAATTGAACTGCGTATTTTATTGAGAAGGTTATTCAAGCCAACCCTCTCAAGGTCTACGGCAGATTCTGTTACAGATGATGACGCAATCCCATCGACAATGTTCCAATGTATTGAATAAAAGTCTTGTGGTTTAGTTTCTTGTTTCTTATATTTATTTTGTTCCCGTAAAAACGTCAGTCTCGCAAAATATTCAGATCAATTCAGGAGAAGACTTCCAAACCCACAAATACTTGATACATCGCGTTAAGATGCCGAACTTAACCTAAATCCATTAATCAGCACATATTGTTTCCACTTCGCTTAAGCATGCATGATTTACGATCCACATTCGTATTAGTATCTGCCATTTGCCAAATCGACTATTGGAGTTTTACGTTCCTTTATTAGTTGCACCTACGATTGAACGCTAAAGGTGCCAATCGACTATTGGTATCGGATCCAATTGACCATAATTATACGCCCAATATCTTCGGTATTTCGAGGTAGAATTTGAATTTGTTCATGTGTTACCATACATATTAATATGATGACCACCTTACTATATAGTTTCAATGCCAAACATATTATTGAATAGAAACGAAAAGATGACAAGACGATTAGAGAACATAGTATAAAAAGCCTATTTGCAAGCATCTTAAAAATTGATTTATGGACTTTTTGCTCTGTTACATGGATGTAGATGAGGCTGTTTCCAATTCTTGGAGTCAGCTAGTCGTAAACGAATTCTCATTAACCTCTCTCATTTTCCTCATTTTCTAATTTCTCCAGTCTTTGCACCAGGTTTCAATTAATTAAGCCAAAAGTCGATAGACTTTCCCAATTCTCAATATCGGTTTACAAAGCACAAACGTGAAAACAACCATATTAATATTATTAAAATTGTTTATTATAGATTAGAGAAAAAAGAATATACAATCAAACATTGACTACATCATTTGTTTTATTTATTTCGATCACTTCGGTTTCTTCATTCACTTCGGTCATCACAATGTCTTGGTCATTCTTGCGCTGCTCAAAAACTTCGACTACCTTCTCATTAATATTATTAGCATTGTTAGCTTTGGAATTCCTCCTTCCATATAAGGCGTAGATAATCAACCCGATTGCCATCCAAATAAATAGACGCTCAATACTATGTTTCGTGCAAGTGGCTAACAATAACAAATTCATTGCGGCTCCAGTGATTGGCACAAGGAATGGTCCACCGGGTACCCGGAATCCTCGAGGTATATGAGGAGCCTTAATACGAAGAATCATTACACCTATATTGACCAGGAAGAAAGCGAAAAGTGTACCGACGGAAGTGAGATCAGCCAAGACGTCTATAGGCAGGAATGCAGCACCGAGTGAAGCCACTACACCGGTTGCCGCTGTGGTAATATAAGGTGTCTTAAAGCGTGGATGGACTTTGGTAGCTACTGCAGGGAAGAGACCGTCTCTACAAGTAATAGCAAACATAAAAAACATGATGAGTTGCTTTATAGAGAGACGAGAACGCGTATAACCAATGCAGAAAGAATGTAGATATTAACTTGGCCATTGTGTAGAATATGCGCGGTTGAGACATGATCATAACGAGTATTACTGATGTAAGACCGGCAAGCGCACCGAGATCAACTATTATCCCAAGCCATCGCATTCCAGTCGCTCGTATGGCTACTGCTATTGGTGCCGCTGTATTCAATTCGGTATAACTCACTACTCCAGTCATTACCAAGCTTTATAATAAAAAAAATTTTAGCTATTACTATACGGTTGTGAAAAAACTAACAATCACGCCACCACACTTATATACATATAATCTTTCTTACCAAACAGCCACATATAATATTGTGCTTATGAGCAAACTTCCCAAAATCCCGATAGGCAAGTCTCTCGAAGGATTCTTTGTCTCTTGCGCGACAGTTGTAACAGCATCAAATCCAATGTAGGCGAAGAATACAACCGATGCACCAGAGAAAATTCCCGATACACCAAACTTGTCGAAACTCCCCTCGTTCTTGGGTACAAATGGTTGATAGTTTTCGGTTTTTACCGAGGGCGCGGCGGCAAGCACGAATAATATGATAACGAAAATCTTAAAGGTTACAATCGACGTATTGAACCAAGATGATTCTTTGATTCCGATAACTAATAGGATCGTGAGAAACACAATCACCACGAACGCCGGTACGTTGAAATATGTTCCCGGAACTGACTCAAACGACGAAGTAGTAGAGTTGAAAATGAATGGCGATTGTGTATACGCGGGGTTTAACGTTCTAGAAAACGCATCTTCGATGAAATAGACAAGGTACGAAGACCATCCCACAGCGACGGCGGCAGTTGAAACGAGATATTCCAGTATTAGATCCCATCCCACTATCCAAGCCATTAGTTCACCCATGGTGGCATATGCGTAAGTGTAGGCTGAGCCAGAGATTGGAATCATCGAGGCAAGTTCGGCGTATGATAGCGCGGCAAAGGCGCTGGCAAAACTGGATATGAGGTATGATATGACTACAGCTGGACCCGCATGTTTTGCAGCCGCCTGGCCTGGTTCGGTAGGCAAAATTGTCAGAAATAGAGAAATGTAGATAATAGTGTTTGCTCGAGTAGAGACTATCCCTCCATCATTATATCAACGATGGGATAATATTGTTGATTCCTTCAACTCACCAGTGAGCACGAAAATTCCCGCCCCAATAGTCCCCCCAATGCCGACCATTGTCAAGTCAAGGGGTCCTAAGCATTTCTTCAATAAAGATTTTTTTTGATCAGCCTCCAAAGACGTTAGGGATTTGATGGTCAAAAGCTTTCGCAGGTTATACTGCCATGTGGTCTCGCCTTCTGTACGAGCGACACCGGACGTTAAAAATTCATACGATTTCGGGGGAGTTGGCTCGTTTAAATTTGACATTATGTATTATTTTATGGAACGCACAAACGAAAGGGCAACTTTATATGCAATGTTAAAAATCCGAGCACTGCACTAAACAAAAAATCATCCGTTGTGGTTGATTTAAAAGAGAGCCATATTTATATGTATTAGTGTCGATTGCATAACATTGTTGTGTGGGAAGTTCGCTATCGTTTTCATTACTGCTGATTTTTTGGGACACCTTGTCGAATCCCGATCTGTTCTCATGTGCGTGTCAACAACCAATTACTTGGCTGTAAGTAGACCTCTTGCTTTCTATTTCTGGTTATATTATTTGACTGTCTGAAACCTAAATTCACATGCATACGTTCTTGTTAGAATATAGTTTAAAACAGAAAGAGAGGCGTGTGTCCATATGGCAAGCTCGACTCAAATTGCTTCTACTAAAAAGGCTCAAATAATATTGTCTCCGGTCAAAGACATCGAACATGAACTGCTCTTCGTTACAGTCTCAATATCTAAAATATCCTACGGAAGGTGATCTGGTTTCGATCGGCCGAGCGGGAGATATGTTCTGTCATGCCATCAATGGTTACTTTGATCTGCTTATCTGCGTATTCTCCAAAATCGAATCATTTTTTTAAAGGTTCGGAATGACTTTCCTGATTGACATTTGTAATACGGAAATACAAGTTGGTTGATATCTTGTGCATGCACACGCAAAAACGTATGCTGTGAAACCGAGTAACTGTTAATATAAATGGTAATGCATCTAGCCTTAGCGGGTTACTGAAGTTGTATAAATATCACAATCGTAAATGGCAATGTGAAAGTAAGATTTTTAA